CCCCCCCCCCCCCCCCCAAAAAAAAAAAATGCAAGCTCATTGGGCTGATAACTGACGTTTACTCTCAAAATTTGTTTAATTAAACCCGTAATGCCAATAACAATCCTCTACGACTGGCCCTGTGCTAATTGGCAATAACCTGTCTAAAAAGCAATCAGAACATCTCCAGCGTGCGTCCTAAAAAAGTTCTCTGGTTCAGGAAACTACCGGACTGACCCGAATTTTGTTCAAAACCTCCAAGCTCCCTTGAGCTGCTCGGCTCGGCTGTCACTCTACATCTCTGCTAACGCTATTTCACAACCAGTCTCTTCGACGCCACTTGGCATTTTGCCAGGTATGGTGGGTAGCGATACCCGGCGTTCTAAATCTCCATAACGAACATCTATTGCCCCGGAATATTAAACCACCTCATTTTCAATTGTTGAGATAAATCTGAACTTTTTAATAATTCGCAATCGCATTTTACTACGGTCAGTGAATGGCAACAATCACCTATGTTACTTCTGAGTGTCCTTGCCTTCCAAGAAGGAGAAAAGCGAAAAGAAATTTGAGTTCGGCTTCCTAAAATTCAAGTTAAAACGACAAAAAATGGTTTTTTTACCTCATCTGGTTTCTCAGTGAGCTTTTGCCAGGGCAATGTGCCACACAGCCAATAAAGAATGTTATAGCCCAGTATTTCTAGATCACCTCTGTATGAAGGAGCGCAACCACGATGCGCATCAAGTGATGTGAACAGAAGTGTTCCGTTGTGAGCTAAAAAAAATCAACTTTTCTTATTACTTCTAGAATTGAAAAAAAAAGCTTAACGAAGACATATTTTGAATTTTAACAGATAATATAAGACAATAAGTAGACAGATCAACAACTGGAAGCCAGAACTTCCCCAGTATTCACTCTCTTTGGAAAGGGGAAGTGCTTGGCAGTCCAAATATGCCAACAGTGCCCATCCGCTCGATGACTCCCACTTTCGAGAGTTGCTTAGAAGCAAACCAACCTCCTCGAAGAGTAAATTATCGTTTTTCGAAAGACGTTTTATTTTCTGTTAAAATCAAAAACAAGAAAAAACGGTTTTTTGAAAAAGACAAATCCCACAGATTACCTCATTCATCACTCACTTCAACAAATTCTCGTTTCAAAATTTTAGTTGCTCAAAAAAATTCATAACATTGAAACTTTGAAGCAAAACGTTACCTCTCTTTTTGTCAGGCTTTTCAACATTTCCTTTTGCCATTTTTGCAAGCCCAAAATCAACCAAGAAGCACTTGGAAAATGTATTCGCAGAAGCCAAAAGGATATTGTCCGCTTTCAAATCACCGTGAACATAGTCCTGAAAGTGATATTTCCATGCAACAAAACTCAAGCAAAATCCCTTTGCAAAATTTTTTTGCTTTAATTTCCAGTCCTGGCTTGCCCAGGAACCCAACGAATGGGTTAGGCTTCCCGAAATGTACCTACAATTATAGGTTGCTGTCGAGGGATGAACTCATGAACTGTCTCAAGAAAAGTGACAGAATATTATGTGATGCCTTCGACATGTGTATAACATGGCAAACAATCAAGGATACGTAAAAACGAAACTTTTTTGAAGAAGCTGGCAACACTAACTGACCAGTGAAAAAGTGCGTTAACACAAAAGTATTAAGATTACAAAAAATCGTATGTAAAAAGTCGGAATTTAATAAAATGTAATCATGATAAAAATAACAATAAAAAGGAGAAAACAAACGTGATCTTGCATATAGGACAAGCAATTGATGCACTGTTTTGCTACAGATAATACCACATGCATGTCCAGTGTACCACCATTTGATGTTCGATATGTTTCTAACGATTTTTCATAACGTGGCATAATCAAAAATCGCAATTTCTCGCCATTGTGTGTGTATAAACCACTACTGATATATGGCGGTAAACCGACGTGGCTAACTTCTGTAACAAAAATGAATTAGGAGATGGTACTATAGTAAAAATGTGTCGAAAATATCTGAACAGAAATTCGAATACAGTACAAGAAGCAAACATACTATTCTGTTTGGACCATTCAGTGAGCTTTTCCGGCATCAAAATTCGCTGAAACACTGTAATTTCTGTGAACAGCGGGCCGTTTCCGTGCGGCTCAATTTTTAACGCCAATGATCCATCCTTTCCGTATTCCCTGCTGTCTTCCTGAAATGCATGAAAATGTGGATTTGGTGGGAGCAGACAGAGCCGAAAATCGTAGGGACAAATATAAATACAACTTAAAAAAAAATCTCGAATCGCCATCAAGTTAACCATCAGACGCAGTAGCCCTGGTCAAAAAAACTGGAAAAAATGCCTGCAAAACAACTGAGGAACTAATCTATGAGCTGCAGCCAATAAATCTTTGTTTTTTCTTCCTTCTAATATCTTTTCTTGTATTTTAAGTGATCATGAACATACAAATTATATGCATCAAAAACACGCACACCTTTAACGAAAGAGGTTGTGCTGGTGATTACCACCCCTTCCTACACGCTCTGCTTTGTCTGTGTTTACAGCTAAGGGATGAGACACTGACTGGTTCTCCAATGTATCCATCGATGTATATATGCATATATAGTATGTAGATCCAATATATCTAATCTCAATAATAATATTCATCCCTATTATCTAACAGGAATTCCCTTGTATGTAATAAGACAACAAATTACAGGGAACACAGTAAAAAGCAAGTCTACTTGTTTTGCCGTGTAAATGCGTCCAAAACCACCACGCGCGAATTCTTTGCCGACAATAAATCGTTGTTTACGGCTATCCGTGATAACTGTTTTCTCGGGTACAACTGCCGCCAATTCGTGAAGTTTTTTCTTTGGAGCAGGCATCGTCAACGATTGCTGAAACGAAACTCCATAAACTACGCACCGGATATATCCGAACTCTCCGATCCGACTGGATTCACGCGATCTTACTCAAACTAGGTTCTTCCTCACCCCTCCTCCTCTTAAAAAAATTTTTTTTGAGAGGAAAAATTTAATTTCTTTAAGGGGGAAGAGATTTTGTACTTCTGTTTTATTTTCTGGCCTAAAAACCCCTCGCGGAATTCGCTAGCTGAACTGTCTGCCCTTCAAAAACCGCCATTAAAAAATTCACCGTAATACCCTAAGGAACGCAAAAATCTGAATAAAGATTTAACAAAGACAGCCAAGAGATCAGGCCGATTATCAACGCTACTGCAAAATTTGGCAAGAAGCCAGGAGACCAGGCCGGTTATCTGCGAATACAATACTTTCCTCCCAAAGCGTCATTTACAGTCTTTAAAGTAGAAAAAAAGAGGCGAAAGAGATTATAATTTATAACCTGATACGAACAGAACTATTTTTTTTTAAAATTAGCAAATATAATTGAGAATACTAAGACTGTTCGGGCTATCATGTTAGTGATGTTAGTGAGATTTTTTCAAACGCTAAGCACAGCTAATATCAGCCCTCTTCGATCCACGGCTGCATACCTCCAGTTAGTACCCACTGCCCATACGCCATATGTTCGGAGGTCGTGCAAATGGTCGTTTACTTTCTCACGGATACCACTCACTAATGTGCTACGTCCACCAGCTGTCAGCAAGGCGGGCAATAGGCCCCGCCCATCAGATTTTACTTCCTCGCACAGTCGCAATGACATCATCCTACGTGCCGCTCAGCATTTGACGGAGAGTCTGATTGTTTACAATGGTCACGGTGAGATACGCCAAGCATCCTTCGCTCCATCGCTAGCACCCGCTCTCCCGCTCTTTTCAGGGACCGCGTTCAAAGAGGTACCAAAAAACCCCGTCATCATTGGACCACGCCCATTTCCGTTCAAAATACTTGCTAGTCCGCCAGGGAATGGTACGAAATTTTCGCAACCCAGACAAAAACCCGTGCAATACATGAGGCCGAAATGTGCCATGGTGGCGTCCGAGTTTGCCGAATTCAGGCTTAGATCGGTGGTAAAAATCCAGTAAGCATCTACAGTATACAATCACAAATCCAGCACCAAATTCTGCAAAGTTTTAAGTCCAGCAGTGGATCTCTAACAATCTGCAAAATCCATCAGATATACAAGGTTTCGCAAATATCACGGTATAAACAAGGCCATGGGGAGGGGTATTTCAGGATAAAGACAACCCGTAAAATCTAGGGGCCTACGATAACCAGGGATAATTTATTGAGCGATTGGAATACTGATGTTAAAAGAACACTGGGAAAGCCACCAATACACTGAACCCGTTACGGTAGGTGCATGCGAGTTTTTCAAATTCCACGGCACAAGTGGGGACAAAAAGGCGGGGGGAAGGGAGGGGGTATTTTAGGAGAAAATTTAAAAAAATCCAAGGATCCATGATAAGCCGATTGTAGCAACCAAGTTGACCCTAGAAGCCTAAATAGCAAAGGGGCGAAAGACTACAACACGAAGGAACAGTATGAGAAAAGAAGGTAATAATAAGATAAAACATTTCGGTCCATTAAGTCATATACGTCTTAACTCAACACCGCGACTGAACCTCGTCAGCAACAGCAAGTGGAAGGCCACCGATGCTCTTCCAAACTCGAATGCTTGCGATGATGTAAGCGCGGAAAACATAAGATCGTAGTCGATGGAAAAGTTGTCAGCTGCATACGATGAATTCCAAATTATGAATTAACTCGGTCTGCACTAGTAGATATAGGATATACGAAAACGTACGTGAAAATACACACGTACGTGGCGAGTGAGTTTTTCAGCGGGTGAATTTTTCAGAGATTACTCGCGCTTCTCTGTTTCTCTCGTTTCGGCACACTCTCTTGCTTCTAATCAATGTTGTGTTTCTCGAGGGGTTTGTCGACGTGCTCATTTCGTTCCGGGAGCCAGGATTTCTCGGGGTTCGTGAGGGGCGGGTCTGTGGAGGTTGGGTGTTGTTTTGGATCTTTTATAAAAGTTCTTTTTTTGTGCAGTTGAAGGTGAGTTTTTGACTGTTTTGCGGGTTTTCGGGAAAGGACGGGGAGGTGGTTTTTTTCGTTACCTGAAATCGAGGTACATGTAGAACAAATATCCCAAGAAATCCGCGGATTTTGTAAATCCTTGGTGACGAAAACGTTCGATAATTATTTCTCGGGCAAGGTTGGAGTATGGGATCTACTCATATGATTGCAAAAAGCGTAGTTTGATCAAGAAAATCCACAGTTAATGTAACAAATAGTATTGCCTGAATACCCATTTTCCCTGAGAACATCTGCTAGGGTAATGTTCCCCCTGGGAGCATTTCCCGGGAAGTCCTTGTAGAAAATTCTGAACATAGTTGTGAACTCAAAAACTTCACGTGGGAATGAAACCTACAGTCAGTGTAACAAGTCTCTTTTCTGGGTGCCCATTTTCCCGAGGGAAATCTGCTAGGGTAATGTTCCCCGGGGAACATTTCCCGGGAGGTTCTTGCAGAAAATCCTGAAAGTAGTTGTGAACTTAAAAAATTTGTGTAGGAATGAAACCTACAGTCAGTGTAACAAATAGTCTCTTTTCTGGATGCCCATTTTCCCGAGGAACATCTGCTAGGGTAGTGTTCCGCGGGGAACATTACCTACCCGGGGAAAATTACCCTAGCAGAAAATTCTAGCAAAAAATCCTGAATTTGTACTTAAAAAAATTCGCGAAGGAATGAGCCGAGGAGTTCGTTGACTTTACCATTCATCTTTTCCTGGGCATTTCACGTACATGTTTTAGAGGAAAAACGCTGAATCTGGGAATATTTCCTGGATGCCCATTTCCTCCGGGAACTGCTCGTAGGGTAGTGGTTCCCGGGGAACATCTGCTAGGGTAATGGTTCCCGGGGAACACTCCCCGAAAAATTTTTGCGTAAAAAATCCTGAAAATTGTTTTATGCTCAAAAACTTCACGTAGAAATGAGCCGAAAAGCTCCTGGATGGCACCACTTTACCCTTCTCTGTGCGCTTCACGTACGTGTTTCAGGGGAAAACGCTGAATCTCGGTGTTACCACGGCAAGCGTCTGCAGCATTGAGCGGCACCAGGCCGACGACAGACAATGGACACGTCACAGAGTACCACCGATACAATCGTCGATAAAACAAACAAGTGGGTGTTGTATATCTCCTTTGCCGATTGACTAAATAACGTACATTTGAGAGGACAGAGGAGCGGTGAAGAGCGGAAAGGATGAGGAAGTGTACTCCTGGGACTTCCCATTTTTATGAAACTGATGCTTAGGTAAAGCTGTTTCACAAAAACCAGTCATTGAGCTTCTTTATTTATGAAATTAACGACTAGGGGCTTAAACGTAGGGATTTAAATGACTTGCCCACTATATTACTTGGTTTTCAGGTTGAAAATTAGTCCAGAAATAAAAGATAGCAGCGGCACGGATGGTCAATTGACACCCAAACCACCGCCACCACCGGCTACTCCAAAAGATGCAGCACCATCGGATTATGCAACCACATCTGTACCCACAAGCACAAAAGTATCATTTTGTTACCCCCTTTTTTTAGTGGGATCTTTTTGATTCAGCAGCGAAAAATTTACAGGCAAATAAGAGTTTTGAGAGTTTCCAGATCGTTTTTTCCTAGCCAGGCAACGAAGCAAAAGGAGGAATTACGCCTTAGTTTTGGAAACCTGTCGTCCAAAATTTTTATTAGGAACGGTACTTTGTGTAAGGAACTGATCATCTTCTTTTCGAAAATCAAAATTTGCAAATTTTTTAAAATACTGACCCTTTTTAAGCCTCTTGATCCGCCTTTTAAACGAATTTTACGCTTTTTGAGCTGTAATTTTTGATTTGGCCTACTTTTTCTTTCGTGTTTGTTATTAGAAACAGGCTACTGATTGACCACTGATTCATTGGTTCTTTAGCCGACATCCATGCATACCATTTTTCTGGTTAATTTCGTGTTTTTTTTTTTTTTTT